TGGCAGTCGACCACACTCCTGCATAATTAACAGCATCTAAAATGAGGTGTTCTTTATATGACCTTACCTGACAATGTCAGGGCATAGCTTGCCTACAGGGACTATGCAGTAAATAACAAATACACATGCATGTGTGCCATCCACAGCACACATACAGACAAACTTCCTTCTTTAAATATCTTGTCTCAGATATTCTGTATGTTAGATTATGAATCACACAACAGAGCACGGCCCAAAAGAAGAAAAAGGACCATGTCTCAGAGCTCGCCGAAAGCCAACACATCTCATAGCATGAAGTCACGGCAGGTAAGAGAACATTCCTCAAGGCTGAACATGGTACACCGCAGACTGACAGCACAATGAGGGAGACAAAACACATCTGGATTCTACTGAAGGCTGTTCCACAAATTTCACAGCGTTTTTAAAGAGTGCAGCTAGCGGAGGGGGTCCAGGGGTTAGTTCAACTGCTGTGCTTCAGTGATGGTGACATGGCTGGGGAGGATTGTGCTGGAGCATCGCCTGCTGCCTTGATTTGCTCGGCAGATCCGCGGCAGGGTTGGAAGGATTTTCCCCCAAAGCCCTCTTACCCTCCCGCAGAGCAGAAATCCCCTCCAATCCTCCCTCGCAGTTACTGCAGGGACGCCTTACACTCTGAGACAAAGGACTCCAGAGAGGACAGGAGAGGAGAGGAAACAAAAGGAGAAGGGAGGAGAGAAGATGAGAGGAAAATAAATAAGAGAAGAAGAAATGAGAACAGGGGGAAGAGAGGAGACGACAGGAGAAAAGGAGAGAAGGGAAGAGAGGAGACAAAAAAGGGAGGCGAGTAAGAGAGGAAACGAGGACACGAAAGGAGAGTTCGAAGCCAATATAAGGACATAAATATCATCAGAAAAGTACTTTACTGTCCTACTCCTTCATCCTCTCACACACATACATATAGTTTTCGACATTGTCATGGGAGCTGGATACGAGAATACAGATGGAGACGAGGAGAGACACAGCAGGAGTGGCTCCAAAGTGAGAGTGAGAGACACATTATGGAGGACGTAAAGCAGAGATAAACCACAAGTTATCTTTGCAGGCGTTGGTTAATCAACACAGATTAGTGTGGTGAACAGACACCTGGACAATCTGTGCACATGCAGTGTGCGCGCTGAGGGGTGTGGTCCAAGGGGTGTCTTGGGACCCAGAGAGAGAACGATGTGAAAGAGGTAGAGATATCTAGTCGTGAAATATAATACCTCGCTTGCATCACCGATCGATACACACACTATGCCATGCATCTGTAGCTAATCTTTCACGACAAAACAGAATCCTAGAGAGCCAAGCGTCCTGAAGGTGAGGTTTGAATCCTTAAATTTAAATCTAGTAATACGTGTGTTATCACTTTTGTTTTTCAGGCATGTAATGAGACTCACCCAAGCATTACACAAACTTCACCAATGAGATCCTGGCCTGGCCCTCCCCAGACATACCTGTGGTAAGCAGCGCAACAGCTTACAATCACTATTACACAACACTGGCCACTGTGGAAAGTGAACACCTGCACAAAAATATTCTCACTGTTGATACAAGAAGATAACATATTGTAACATATACAGAAGAGAAGAATAGAAAATGTAAATCTTGCCCGAATGACACATTATGGCCCGAGTTGAAGTTGATGTGATGTAATAAAACTTGTGGCGTGTTTTGAGGGAGGATTGCCATTACAAACAGCAAACCCCTCGACATTCCACTTGGCTACCAACTGTGCCAAAGTAGCTAATGATTAACTCTTAGGAAGGGAGTGTTTGAATGAGTAAACCCCCTGCTTCTCCCTGTACAACCTCCTGTACATCATTGTCCACATATATCATTACATAACCTGAATCTGGCTGGCACACATGGGAGCAGGCCAGGCAGCCACACCAACACACATACAGGACAGACTCTCGTTCCCTGGCAAACACAAGGAAATTCTATCTCCATTTTGAAAGGGCTGGCCAACACACTGGCCTTGGCGAGAGGTTGAGCCTAGGCCAACCGCACCCCCTGACAAACGCACACACACACTGACCGACTGAGTAACAGAATCTTTATCAAAGATCTATTCACAATACATTAACAATGCAACTGAATGCATGTAGTAAAATTATTAGGCTAGTGGGGCATTTGTGAAGTTGCCAGACTGGCAGTCCTGGCCACCATTTTGCTTTTGTTTGTGTGTGTGTGTGTGTGTGTGTGTGTGTGTGTGTGTGTGTGTGTGTGTGTGTGTGTGTCTGTGTGCCCAAGGTCTTGTTCCTGGTTCACTCCGGTCTCCCAGCACTACAGTGGGTCTATTCTTCTCGGGTGCTTCAGAGAACAGGATTAATGACCAGCGGCAGGGACATACAAAAGTTGTGTCCACCAGCCACCAGGATTTTACAGCCTTGGTGTGTGTCACTGTGTGTGTGTGTGTGTGTGTGTGTGTGTGTGTGTGTGGTGTGTCTTGTAGGAGACTGACAACAATGCCATCCTTCTTACATGCTCCCTAAGAGAAAACAAAACTTAAACATGCTCATACATGCCATCTAATACTCCTGCCAGGCCAACAGTCAGGCGTGATGCAGAGCAGACTGCCAGCATTACAGGCACCAAAACATCCATGCAGCACCTCGCATCAAGGGTTCAGACTAAACTGCCACTCTTACTCTGCAGATCACCCCCCGACCCCCCGCCTTTGCTCCAGTGTGTCCATGGTTATCACACCTCATTATCTGTAGGAGGTGTGCCTGAAGGTCTGTGCAGGAACCCCACACGACCCTCTCGCTGCCGATGGCATTTCATGCATTTAAATCAACACGTTGCCACCTGCAAGGCTGACTCAGTGTGTGGGAGATGGAGAGGGTATGCCAGGTGAGTGTGTATGTATGTGAGAGCGGAGATATATACTGTGCAAGGTGTTGAGTGGTTCTGTGCTAATTGGCAGAAAACTGCCCTTTTTCCATGTGGAGTGTTGCTTGTTCCAGGGAGATACACACACACACACACACACACACACACACACCAACTTGTCTGACTAACTGACTGAGGTCTTCAGTAATCAGTGTTAGTGCTGACAGAGTTACGTTTCACTTTTATTGTACCTGAACAAACCCATTGCGCAAGTCTATGGCTACGATACTGAATGCCAAAGCTTTCTGTCATGGATTGGCGCTGCTAAACTGTTGACTGGTATGAAAACAGGTTCTACAGCTATACTGATAATAGTACATTCACTTCCAGCTTTTAAAACGTAGTAATTATTCTTAACAAGCCACCTTCTAACATTTCAGCCAAGTTACAATGGTATAAAAACATCAAAGAAACTCACAGCTTTTATCCCCATCCATGTTGAAACCATAAATGGCAGTAATCCCTAAAGCCCAGAATTTTTTTTTTCAACGATCAAATACTTCACGATGTCAAACAATCTCGGAAATTTGCAAGGAAATGGGGCTGCGGACTCCTTGGGTGCCTGCTGAGCTAGCGCCTTTCTTCACCCAGCACCACAAGTGGTCTTGATCCAGGCCAGAGCGGAGCACTGTAAGCCTGCCACTTTGTGCTGATTCAATAAGAAATAATTGCATATTGGCCTCTCTCCACTCATCCCCCCCACTCACCACCGTGGTCTGACACTTTACTGTATTTTTGTGCTGTAAGTTACAGTACGAACCCAGTGCTAGGGGAAGGACACTGCAGCATTGTAGCTGCTGCTATTCTTATCATTTTTTTTGAACATCCACATTCCTTCAGCTTGTACGGGGATACTGAACCTCCACTGATATGAGTATTTCTCAGCAACACCTGGCTTTAGGGCAGACAGCTGCCTAACCACTGTGGTCTTCATCTACAGAGATACACATCAAGTTCGATCCTTACCTCACTTCCTGCCAAACTGGCATCAGAGACACAGAAAGTGCACAGCCTCGTGTCAAAACGTCTTCTTTCACTATTTCTTTCCTTTATATTAATATGCACACGTAATGAGTATGCTTAAGGAACTTAAAGGATAGATCAGACAGACAGACAGACAGACAGACAGACAGATAGATAGATAGATAGATAGATAGATAGATAGATAGATAGATAGATAGATAGACAGATAGATAGATAGTGCTGTAAGCAAGGTGCTAATAGACATTTCTTTCTTTTTTTAACTACTGCTAAATACTCAAGGTGACTTCCTGTCACTCTAACAGATGGGGCATACATGGTTTGTGAAACTACTTTGAATAATAAACAGTCACACAGTCATCCATCGTGTCTGTATGCAAACGTCACACTACAATAACACTCATTAAAGGTGAAACCTGTTGTGGGCAGTCTGACAATAAAACAGCTTAAATAACAGAGGGGGCTAAATTACAGACAGAGTTTATTGTCACTGATTGAACAGGCGCCAAAACAAACCTGTCCTGCTCAACTTAACCCGTCTATCATATAACAACGGATCAACTGAGTAACAAAAGCATGATGTCATCCCTTAACAATCCGCCAAGTGTAGGTGCAGCCCCCCCCATCTACAAGTAAGTTCACGGGATCCGATCGTGAATGTTAAACTTGCGCGTGTCGGTCCGCGCTGTTGCCCCCCCGGGTTCGTTATTGAGGACGAACGGGGTGAATGGAGGTATACGTGATGAAGCATTATGCTGTCAGCTGTATGTGTGCAGCGCCCCGCCAGCACTGCTGCACGCGCACTGTAGTTTGGACTCGCGACTGTCTCCATAAAAATCTGTGACCAGACTGCTGCATGCCGTGTGTGTGTGTGTGTGTGTGTGTGTGTGTGTGTGTGTGTGTGTGTTTTTTTTGCCCGTCACCTTTTCATTATAAGACATAAAGAGGCAATCTCAACTTCACGGCACGCTGTCACTGTGAAAACACGGGCGGGATCCTGCGCTCAACTTCCCACCGTATCTCTCCCTCAACGTGACAGCCGCTGCAACGTCACCGAGACCAGAAGTCATACACAGGCAATAACAGTACGGTTTAATATTTACCAGCTCGCTACAGTGCTGGAGCTGCAGCCATTTATCCCGTAGCGAAAGGGCCAGAAGTCTGCATTTCCTGGATTGCGACGCGCTGGATGGAGCTGCTCTCGGTGCCCGCGATCCTGCGGACGGAGAGCCGGAGGGGCTCGGGGTGCTTCCCACTGTTGTGTCAGACCGGACAGCGATGCCACATTCAGCTGATCGCCACAACAAAACAACATCTCGCCCTACGCGAAACGCACTCCGCGGCTCCGCACCACCCCGCACGGCAGGTCCGGGACGTGGGCACCGCCCCCCACCACCCTCCAGCCTCCACCAGTGGGCTGGGGCGCCGAGCCCCGCCTCATGAATAATCATGAGGTGGCAGAGGCGGTCATTGGTGGAGAGGAGCAGTTCCTGGTTAATGCTGTTAATTCTAATTAGCCAGGCAGCCTCATGCAGGAGGGTTTGTTTTTTGGTTTTTTTGGAGGCTGATTGGGGTAATCATGCACCCACTGATCTGGTTTACTTCTGTCTGATTCAGCAGCAATATTTCATCTCCACACACACACACACACACACACACACACACACACACACGGCTATACCACAAGAATGAATTGCCTTCCTCAAGTGATGCTGACATGGCATCACACACACAAGAGGGATATAATGGAGGTCAGGGTCTGAGGCCACAAATCAATTAACTTCTCCTGGATGACTGCGTGAACTGTCCGAGGGTTGCGGCCGGTGTTCAATACTTTGCACACATCTCAGTGAATTTTCCTGCTGATCTGATGACCCCGCCTGTCTGACCTCCTCACACCTGAGGGACCGAGAGTGGCGGGGGTTTGGGGGGGTGGTGATGAGGGTCAGATACAGTAAAAGGTCATGGAAGGAAGCAGCCCTGGTGGCTGTGAGCGCTGCATGCTTTGGTATCCTAGAGATCAATGGTGCTTTAAAATGCCGTTGGACATCAGAGCTCACAGGTGGTGATGGTGACTGACAAATCATCTTTTCAGATCAGTCACATCACTGTCATGGTGCACAGGAGCAGAAAGGATTAATAAACCTGCTTTCAATAAAGACAATGAAACATCCAACAACTGAACTGCATGCATCATGATGTATAGTGGAGGAGAAACTGGTGTAGAATAAGAAACACCTGGTTCTCTCTGCTCTCTGCATGTGAGCGTACAGTTAGTCCCAGTCCTTTGTGTCTCATATTTTCAGAGCTGTCGATGCATCTGCATCCAGCAGAACGCTAAACTCTTTGTTCCTGGTGTTGAGAACAGCTCCGCAGCAAAGAGGAAAGGGAAGGGAAAGTGGGAGGGAAGGTGGGGAGAGGTGTAGTAAAAGAGGAGAGCAGAGAAAGACAGTGGGAGGAAGTGAGAGACAGAGCAGGAGACGGTGGAAGGAGTGCAGGGACACGCTGTGGTGTGAGCGCTCCGTACTGCTACAATATGACTCTGACAGGCTTATGTAACCAGACTGGCCTGGCATTTGGCTCACAGCAGACGCCGGCTGCACTGACTGTTATATAACTGCATTAGCTGCTCCTCTGAGCCGGGGCAGAGCATGCGCACAGGAGATCCCCCCCCCCCCACACACACACACACATACACATAAACACACTCAGACTTTCAGACTTTTAGACTTCCAGCTTAGGAGAGAGTGACTGCATTGCACTGCGGCCAGAGGGAGGGAATGGAAGCGATCGAACTAAATTAGAAAAAAACAAACAAACCCTGAAAGTCCATTGGAGGTTCAGCAATTTATTAGAAACAGATCTATTAGTGGCACCATTTTACTCACTGGAGAGAAACTACGCAATGACAGGGATCAGCATCTTCACTTCCCATCATCCAGCAACAAGTTTCCCATCCTGAAAAGCTTAATTGGGGCTTAATGTTGGGTAAATGTTTCCAGTGCACATGCAGTATGCCAGCAGGGCTTAAACTCAATTAGCTCCTCTGCATGCAGCACATAATTTAATGGGCCTGGATCCCACTCTTAAAACCCAATTACACCTCAGACAGGCATTTCCAGTCATTCTGTCAAAGAGGTGGTCAGGGATGCACAATCCTCTCACAAAACAACGCTCCTCCAAATCAGCACGAGGAACAGTTGTACTCTGCACGGTTCATTTGTTGTAATAACAAAACACTGGAACAAAGCTGGAATAATGGATGATGATCTGCGTGTTTCACTGTAGAGAATGACCTTATTCTTGACAAGTGAATGCAAAACGCAGCTAAACGCTGACATTTCCAAACTAATGTGGGAAAAGGGAAGTGAAGATTAAGGTCAGGGATAACACTGCAAGTGATAACCATTGTTTCAGTCAATCTGCAATTAAAAATCCCAGGATGCCTAACCAAGCATGGCTGCAGAGCTACACTAAGTGGTTCATAATCAGCACATTACAGCCTCTGATCTCTTATTACAGCGACAAATTGCATCTGATGATAACAGAGGAAATGAAGGTGGGATTTATGACACTGGAGCCAATGGCCAAAGACAGGGAGTGTCTTAAATCTATCCTAGGAGAAAAACCGAGTTCACATTTGCTCACCTGATGATAACAGGGGAAATAAAAGTGCGATTTATGACACTTTGCTAATTTGTTCTCAGATGGTGTTGGCTGTGTTCAGAGGCTGTTAAATTTCAGATGGGACTAATGGAAGAGTATAGTGCAAAGAGTTCTGTAGTCTTATGAAACTCAGTCTGGTGCTTTCATACTATAACCGCTTCAACCACTGAAAGAGACGGTTAGAGGTAAGTTTACAAGTGCGGTTCTTTAAAGAGCTAAATGCTAAAACTGGAGCAATAAAAGTGAAACAATTAAGATCAAAACATCAGAGATTTGGAGAAGACGCTGCCAGAGCGGACATCAAATGCTTCAGACTACTGGTGGTGAGTTTATTACAACATTTGACCTTCCTCTGTGCGTCGGACTGATGAAGTGAAGCCATGTGTCAGGTCCAGTGTGCAGTGTACTGCTACACAAAGAGACAAGACAGCACTTCCACTCTGCAGAACACGCACGCAAGGCGCAGTGTTCCAGCTTCCCGACAAGTTCTGTGCAGGAACACCAAGAGTTTATGCAAAAGAGTAGGCTTGCAGCTGTCAGTGCAGTGTTTGTCAAAGGCAGAAAACACCTTTTCGTTGTGTTCTTTGCTCTACATTTTGTACATTTTCCATTTGTGCATTTTTATTTAAATGAAAGCTTGTTGAGGACAGTGCTGGACATTTTCTCAATTACTGTACTTAAGCACTAATTCTTGAGGTATATGTACTCTACCTGAAAATTTCTTTTTCTGCAACTTTTCTACTTCTACTCCATTCATACCCTTCCAATCCAGTGAATGTGTCCATGTATCAGCAAATGTTGAATGTTTGTGCTAAACTGAACTAAAGTGTTAGAGTTGTAACTATTTAAAAACCCTCTTGGATGGTGGGGAAAAAAAGCTGTTTTTCTGTGCTCACGATCACTTTTTAGAGATGTGGTTCTTACAGGATGGCCACTGTACAGACATATAATGATCTTATACAATATGATTGCTGTAGATCAAACAACTCAATAGTATAACAAGTAGTTACTATGAGCTCAACCTTAAACATATACAGCAGTAAAATGCACAATACACATTAATGCAGCAGCAATATAATAGTGAAACACTAAAGGGGTCAGGGCTATTTCACTTTCACTTTTCATACTTTCATAGCACATTTTCCAAATAATACTTACATACTTTTGCTTGAGGAAGTTTTTGAATGCAGGTCTTTTACCTGTAGTGGGATATTTTCAGTCGTATTATTACTTTTACTGAAGTAAACTGGATCTGTTGTCCTTGCTGCAGCAGTTGTTTGATGCTGGTGTGTTTCATGTTTTAGTTTTGTTGTGTGGTCAAAATTTCATCTTTTAACATCTTATATTGAGTTTATATCAATACCCTCTTATATACTGAATATGGAATTGCTTAAACATACTGGCACTGTGACGCCCTGAACATGAATATATATTTGTACTTTATATCCCCTCACTTCTGATACAATCTGAATTTCTGCCCCTGCTATTTGCGCTCTTGTTTTTAAATACTTTCACAATGTTTGATTTTTACATTTACCGTTGTGTGTGTTATTGTTCTCCCTACAGTGCTGGGGGAAGTCTTTGTTTCCTCCACTACATGTAAAGAAAACTAAACTGTGAAACCATCCATCAAGTCAGGATTGTCATGGATAGGCTGAGCGAGGGGTGGTGTTGTGGGAGGGAAGTCGACAGGAGGTAGTGTGTCATGAACAGTTCCAGACAGTGCCAACTGGATTGAGTGACTGTAGCAGCCAAAACCAACAGGCCCCGTCTGCCAGCCAGGCGAGAAGGAAATAACACAGCAGAGGCTGCGAGCACTGGCACACACTGGTCTGTGTCCATACCAGCACGAAGGGACGGGTCAGACACGTTTACTGCTTCAATTTACAGTTAGGCAAAAGGGGCAAGTTATCAAATTATTATTATGAATGTGTCCCTAGTCACAAAACTGCTGCAGAGAAACGGTGTTAAGAGTTTAGGCAGCCAACAGGAACACAGCAGGGTATCAGATATTTAGTGTTTGCTTGTTTTAGAGTGTCATCTTTACATGATGCTTCACTCAAGAGTACAGAACATGCTGTGATGTGTCTGTTAGCCCCTCCTTAGTCCCCCAACTCTGCACCCCATGACCTAAATCTATGGGATGATGTATGGAAACGAAAAATAAAGTATTATCACACTACCTGCACCCTGATGAACCATTAGAGATAGGGAGATGTTATGTACATTCAGTAACATCCATGGGGCACTTACCCCCCCTCCTAAATGTAACATTACCTATACCTTATCAGTAGGTCAGAAGAATCAGGTAAAACATAATCAAATGTAACCAAAAACAGCTCCTATCATGCTTTTATTTGATACCTTGTAGTTTCTTCATATTTTAATATTTATAATTTTACTCATTTACTGCATTTGTATTTTTTGAGACACAACTATAAAGCTATATAGACAAAGAGTGAGTGACAGATTTCAATCTTTATTAAAAACGGTGTTTATACATTAAATACAATATTAATTCCTGTCATAGACCTATGCCTTATGGCATGCAATGAGCACAATGTAAGGCAAGGCAATACAAGCACACACCAGCATTAGTGTTTAATTTGTTTTTAAACGCAAGACTACAAAAAGGCACTTGATAGTGTTATGAAATATTACATGTTAACTTACATGGCAATTCTGCATAAACAATGTCCTTAGTAGGTTGTTAATGGTAATATGTACAATACCTTTGACATGTTTGAGAAACAAAATTAAAAAAAAGATTTCAACTTATCACAACACTTTGAAATACTCCTTTCACAATACTCATATGCAGCCAAATAAACAGAAGATCTGATTGATATGTGCAGGCAGTGAAATGTTGAAAATGAAAAACATAGACAAGGATAACATCTCAGGATTGTACCAAAACATTTCTTCATTAGGTACAAAATCATCGGTCTTAATATAACTCATCCATTCATATTGAAATTGAGGTAACTACTATATAATGCATAAAATTACTGTACCATCATTACAACCATCAACATACTATTGAAGTCAATACCACTTAACAGCAATTTATCAGGACTGAAATGTGTTGTTTTGTACACAGCGACAATTAAAAATCCCTTTCTTCTTGACTCAATAAGTACTCTGCAACATTCTGGAAATAAGGGCATTAGTGAGAGCACAGGTAGAGTGGTGTTCACGCCATCACCCCCCTGAGCCGCATCGCTGCACATTGCATGATGCTGACTGCTATAGATCAATACCTCTCCCTGCTGCAAACAGACTGCTATACAGGTACAGATTGTCGCCCGTGGCTGTACAAGGCCAAACACAGTCAGACATGGAGAGGTATAGCACCGGAGATAAATTACCATAGGATGGAGTAGGCGAGGACGAGCTGAGATTAGACTGGTGGTCTTTTAGGACTCTCTGGCTCAAGGTATAATGATGTGGATTTGCATACAGCCTAGCAGCAAAAGGGAAGCCCTGTTATGATCTGTAGGGTGTGTCGTATTAGTCTTATCTAACTCTCACACTCACCTCACTCTGGGGCTCCGAGGGAGAAATCTCCTCGTTGCCTGGCCCCCTTCAGCACTAAAAAGGTCCAGCTAATCAGGGGGATTCTAGACCCAGCCAATCAGAGAAGTCTGATGTCACAGGCCTTTAAAAGGGAATCTGAAACTGAAATGTCTGAGGTATTAGGAAAGTGCCCTGTTGCAGAGTCTTTGTGATTCTAGTGCAATAATTGAAATACAGCAAAAAGTCACACAGTTGTATTACGAGCACATCAGGTGGAAGGTAAGTTTCCTAATAAGGTGATTCATTGGCAAAATGACCAGCTAAAACATCATCAATCAGGCAAACAAAAAAAAAACCCACTTTACGCAGAAGCAATTAATTAAAAAAGGAATACAAATAGATTGAATGTATTTCCTTCGTAATATCCTTCCTGTTTCCTTTATAGCATCCTTTTACACTGCCTAAGACACTAGGCAAGAAAACAAAACAACAAAAATACAGCTAAGAGACAAGGCGCGTTCAGTTGAAATCCCTGTCGGGGAAGATGAAAGGGGCGATGAGGGTCCAGAGGTACAGCGCGAGGCCCAGCCAGCTAGAGCTCATCTTCACCCACACAGCTGGCATACTGCTCTGCATGGCCTGGGTGGTGGTGTTTGGTCTGGGGGGGGAGACACAGAGGAGAGGTACAATTTAGTAAAAACCACCTCAATATAACACGTACTGAAATTTATATAAGATATTTTCATATATGGCCCATGAATAATTATAAAAAGCTCTATGAGTTTTTTATTCTAAATTGAGGTGGTTTTAGAAAATGACATTCAAGCAGTGTTCAGAGAATGAATAACTTTCAGGTGAAGTAATGTGCCCTCTGGTGGCCACCCCGAAGGCTTACAATGCGTGTGCAACAACTACTGAAAGCTACTCATTGCAAAACATTAAGCCATCTCAGAAGCTACAAACAAAAGTGTGAATTATTCCATGTTTTTGTCTTTCAAATGTTTAACAATCTGTTGGCAAGAGATACTTACTGGTACCAGTTGGTGAGAGTCATCATGATGTACAGAGAGGCCAGACAGAGGTGGAAGTGGAAAAAGGAGTAGCTGTAGGTGACTCCCTCCTCCTCATTGTCCACGGCCCTGCGTATGCCATCCTCTCCCACCACACCCTCTCCACCTGACCCTCCGCCCTCCTCTGTCTGCATCAGCTTGTTAACCTGGGTGTTACTGGACGAACGGATACTAGAGGAGGGACAGAGAGAAATGTGAATATGAGAAATATTATAAAAAAACAACAAAATGTGATGGTTGTGGTGCTGCTAAACCTACCTGGCATAGAGAGTGCAGAAGAGGAAGATAATCAAACCAACAATGCCCTGAGCATCCCACCACTGCACCGTTCCTGGTGTGCCGTCACCAGATGGCGGAGTGGTGGTGACGTTGGACACTAGACTCAACAGGCTGGGGTTGCACTTTCGATCTATGACATCAGAGCACACACACTCAACATTAGGTGTGTTTTCCAGTTCATAAATATATTACTTACACAGAAATACATTTGAAAACTGTTTTCCTCTAAACAGAGCTCCACCCACACTAGTGACTTCTTAAATGTCACTGTCTACAGTGAAACACTAAAAGAATAAAAGTTTTATGTGCTACTGTATGTTCCTGTTTTACTAATTAATGTTTTAATTGCTTGATGATATGAAATAAGCAGATGTTGCCTATGATGTCTAGCCAAGACAAAAGTCGGTGCAGTGCTACAACATCAGTGTTACAACATCAGTGTAACGTGAACGAGATAGTTCACCCGAATGACAAGCAATATTTGTATTATTCAAAAAGAGGTGAAACCCAAATATATGCAGTGGTATAGATACAGTTTTGATCTCAGGTGCCCACATGTAGATCAAACTAACCCTACAGTTTCCACAAGCTCTGTGCTTCCATTCACTTGCAAAAAGGCAAATCACAAGACATGAGACAAGAAAGGCGTGCTATCAGCTATCAGCAAAAAACAGCTCTTTGTTCCTATAGCATGCCATGGAAAACTTACCAGTATGGTCAAAATGCTGCAGCAGATAATCAGCAAATACATATATGAAAAGAAAACAGTGAGTATGATCTATTCATAACTGAGCATGCAACCAAAAGCTACAGAGGAGAGCTGCAACTGTGGATTAAGACAACAGGAGACTCACTTGGATTGTTGGTCATTGCAGACCAAGTGACATACATGGTGTAGAGGGAGATGAGTGAAGCCTGGAGCAAACCGGAGTGTGGCTGGGCTTCCTGTAACAAACAGCACAAGCGTGCACTTACTGAACTAGCAGAAATGTAAACTAATGTTAAGCAGCTTTGAAACAAAAGGTAAAGTAACTCTATTTGGTGTACTAAGTATTACAATCAAAAACTCAACTGAGACTGGAAAAAACAACTCAAGTTCTTAACACCTGTTTCACCTGAAAATGTCGGCTTGATATCAAAGGAAGTATGGGGGGAAAAAATGTGTTTTCTAATGTATCTGAATTATGGACGTAGACTGGTCCACACTGTACCTGTATCTTGGGTAGGATGGAGACAATGGAGATAATGACACAGAAGATAAGGTTCAGGCTGATGAAGACCTTGTGCTCTGTGCAATCGTCAGGCTGTGTGTAGTAAACGTAGAAAAGCACCACAGCAGTGAAAGCCAGGGCATAGTGGAGGAAGGTGAAAGACAGCAGGCCTGGAAGTTACATAAAGATACATCAACATGAATGGCTTAAAACCACATGTATAACAATGCAAGACTGAAATGGACAGCAGAATAGAGCACCTCTGTTAAAATAAATGCTTCTTTTCAAGCAAGTGTTGTACCTGCAAACCAGCATTTGTTGTCACTATTTTCAGCATTTTCTACCCACACCTTGTTCCACGAGTGAGCAAAGTCAATGAGAAGAATAAGTTGGATTAGAATGAAGATGAAGGATCCCACCACTCCGAAGTAAAACCACACTGTGAAGTTAAAAGGAAACACACACACACAGTTGATTCAGTTTCCTAAAACTGCTGATCAGGAATAGATATCTAGATATCTCTCCTTTGGCTGAGTCACTGATAAAACACAAAGTCAGTGTCTGCTCAGGAAAAGGATATAGTATATAACTGCTTATTGTAATTCAACAGTGTGTTAGTACCAGTATGAAATGTTCCATCAGGGATGAAAAAAGCTCCCACTGTAATCCCAATGAGGATCAGAAACTTAAAGAACCAGAACCTGGAAAATAAACAGTTACAAACCCACTGTCAGTACAACAGGAGACGGAAGTAAGAAATGCAAATCTACATCCATCTCATAACACACGTATTCCAAATAATAATAATAATAATAATAATAATAATAATAATAATAATAAAGCACTCACCCATTTTGAACACCTGCACGTGGGTCTTTGCTGCTACGCACACCAATCATGATGGCGGCGAACAGAAAGAAGAAGCAAGTCATCGCGAAGCACATGCGGTACACGGACTTGTAGCCCACAATGACATCGCAATTAACGTGGTTTTCGATACCAGGTATAGAAGTTCCTCCCTGGCAAAATCCTGGGATCTACAAAACAGCAGAAGTTCAGAGATAATTTTGTAACTAAGGTTATCTTCAAAGTATTTACTGGAGAGAATATCAAGGAATCAAGGAAGTTTATTTATCAGGGAAGCTATAGTTTTAGATACAACCACTTCCAATAAGATATAAGTGAAAATCCTACAGGTAGTATAAGAAAAAAGCATTCACAGTAAACACATGACACACTAAGAATACAAGAATACAACACTGTAATTTAATAGCGTTAGGATGACCTTACTTTACGGAGCTGTGCCTCCATTCCAGGAAGGATCATAATGACAGACACCATGGTCCCCAGCAGCAAAAAGAAGGAGAAAACCAGCCGTGTGACGGTGGAGTTATTGGAGGAGGGACAGCAGCAACACAACATGCATGGTGCTGAACCACACAGACAGGAGGCCTATAGGTGATACAGAGGATGATAAAGGAGTTGGGGGGGGTAATTGAGAGTTAAGTTGCTCCATTAGAAACACAGTAAGTTAATTATTTATCGTGACAGTGAATTTCCGAGAACACAGTTTCTGGATCGAAGTCATAACACATAACTGACTGAAATACAACATCAAAATAAAATAAACCACACTATGGTTAACCCAGTTTATCAAGTAGCTCTAGAGTATAACTGACCCCTTATATAGGTTAACCTAACATTACTGACAGTGACTTAGCTTGCCGATTCTGTCTAAGCTAACGCTACTGTCGTATCGGCCCGACCAGGAGCTGTGGTCCTTAAAGCCATAAAGCATAAAACACATCTGTTGTGTCAGTAACTCGGTAGCAGTAACTAACTTGGCTGACGTTAGGTTCAATGTGTCCTAACATTAGTGTAAACAGGATGTTCTGACACTTCCTCAATCACTATCCTGTGACGGACTAGCTTACTTAAACAACTTCCTATATCTAACGTTACGTTTGAAACGTTAGCTAGCTAGCCAACTGTTATATGTCCAGTAACTCACTGCTTGTGTTAGCTTACTTTAATATTTACGTGAGGTATTTTACGTTAAATCACGTTAGTTGGCGTTAACTAACTTAACGTTAGTATGAACGTTCGTATACGTTAAGTTAACTGTCCCGTAACGTTAGCGCTCAACGGAACTCTTCAACGTTAACGTTAGCTAACCTCGGCTAATACAGTCTACCGTTATGAAGGGAGTGAACTAAAGCCGTCCGACAATATTCGTATGAGAGATTAGATACTTACACAGCTGGCTAAAGAGCACAAGGCCAGACAAGCCCCCATGTTGACATTAATGGTAGACTACCGTGGCCTTTGGTTTTCCTGTACAATACTATCACAAGACACGAACCGTGGGAAGTTGCTCGGCCGCTTTTCAAAATAAAGGTCTAAACGAGCATCTCAAATGACAAGCTTTTCAACATAAAATACCTGGAATGTAATATGTAGTCCACACCAAGGGATGTAAGTGCGAGTAGGATGAAAAAGGAAATTGTTTTAACCGAAACAATCTATGTGTATACAATGATACTGCATTTTTAGTAATGATAGCCCATCTCTGTGTGGTTAACGGGTTAAACTCTGTTTGTTTTTGCCAATCAAAAATAGTCTAGTTGTATCTGCAGGGGACTTTGAAAGCTACCATCTGTCCTCTCACTCATTATCCCAGGAGATGAGTGTCTGTTGTTTAAAACTACAAGAGAGAGTCTGTCAGGTGCGGACAGAAGCCTCTTTAAAGTCCCTGCTGTCGGTAGTGCACCTGCACAGCAGGGAGCCGACAGTGATTGGGTTATTAATAGTCCTTTTAATATATAAACTGGAACAGAGAATGGCATATAGGACTAAAACTCATTGACCACAGCAACTATTGCTATTCAAATCAGTGGCAATGTAGAAACCTGTGTTTTATACACAACATTACCGTTAACCAGCTTTCTTGATTCTATAATTTTCTAATCCACATTGGTCATAACTGATATGATAGATAAGTAAAAACTAATGATATCCTAATTAAACTGTCAATCTAACTGCCAAAGGTAATTTACATTCTGCTAAAATATTACCATAAACAGAAAAAAGCATGCTGCTAGAAACTCTTTTAGAATACCACCATATCACCATGATATTGTCTATATATAATAATACCTCTTACATAAAATTAACTTTTAAATAAATTTTAATTGCTACAAATGTGGAATACATACATGTGGTAGTTTTTGTTATTTTGCATGTTCCTGTTGTACTAAATAATGTTTTTAATTGGTCTGCTTTATGATATGAAATAAGCAGCTGTTGCCTATGATGTCTAGCAAAGACAAAAGTCACATATGTGCAGTGTTACGTGAACGAGGTGGTTCACTGGAATGACAAGTAATATTTGCATTATCAAAAAGTTTTATGTGCATTTGAAAATGTTGTCAGGTAGATTCCTCTACCCAACACTAGGTAGCAGCGTTTAACCACAATTTTACATTACTGCCATTCAATTTAATGATCTTCTGTAAACTATATCTCACATTTCAACAGGTTATACCTGAGAGTGATGTTACAGGGAATATTTTGGGACAGTCTCTCTGTGATTTAATGTAGCCTGTCCCAACATGTCACCATGTACCACAGCAGCAGCCGCAGCCATCAGTCTAATCTGTCAGAACATTAGAGAGCTGTTTATGAATTCTATTATCTTACTATAGAGGGTATGTTGATTCAACTGAAGCATCTGGTAAGGTAGAAAATTAAAGTAAGATCCTTTATAATGTCAGCCCATCTGTGCCATTATTAACTATATATTTGTTTAGGATGAATGAAGACAGGTGGGGTGTTTGCAGGGCTGAGATTAATACAGGAGGAATGTCTGTCAATGAAATATATATATTATATATGTATGTATGTATATATATATATATATACATACATACATACATACACACATATACATACACACACACACACACACACACACACACACACACACACACACACACACACACACACACACACACACACACACACACACAGATGAATCCCTGTACTGAGGAAGGTAAGTGTATTCAGGTCTTTGAAAGCTGTTGACATAGTATCTGCACTAAGGTTGGTATGTAGAACAGTAATTCAAACACTCTACATTGAATGTATTTCCCCATAATTAACAGTAGGGACCTTCTGGTAGTGGAGGAAGACCATGCACAATAATTAGACTGATATTAGGTAAACTCTGGGATTTAGGGTTTAATATTAAACTAGGTGTACATTTCTGATTACAGTTAAAGGTCCAGTGTGTAGGAGGATCTATTGGCAGAAATTGAATTTGTTCATAGGTATGTTTTCATTAGTGTATAATCATCTCTGAATCATCATCTGAAAATAAGAATCGTTATCTTCTATGGTTGTTCAACCAGGTTTCTACAGTAGCTCAGAGCTATCTTTAGATAGATAGCTATTCCTTTATTTTATTAATTTATTTTATTTTTTGCGTATTTCGCGAACACCATAGTTTCTTGGAAAGGAAGCAACTGACTTGCAATCTGCAACTACAACAGTAGTGACACTTATTTGTGAAGTTTAGATATTTGAGTAGTTCTGGCGGCAACCAGCTTCATAAGAACCTTTCTGATTTGGGATAAGCTATGGATTAATTACTATAATGTGTACAAATAAAAAGCATAATTGTATTGCATGTCCACTGACAATGGCCACATCATTATATAAGGGATCCTTATGTTAATGTATTGTTGTTTTTACATCACACCTACTGGTTTATGTTTAAAAGATATTCCAGGTTAAAAGTAACTGTAATATACCAAATAAATAATATTTTGTATATATGTCAATGTTGAGATGAATCAACCTTAATATAAATAATGAACATATGCTGCTATTAGCTGCCATCTGGAACCTAATTCTCAGGAATCATATGCTTCCTGTTTTCTTTTTCAGTTTGTGTAAATGCATATACTGGAATACCTGTGCTACCAACCTCTGTTATCCATTGGACGTTTTAGCCACTCACTCCTGTGCGTCTCCTTTAATCACCTCTTTGTTCTGGCACTGATGGGCTCACTTGGCTGGCAGCAGTTGGCAGCTAATGTCTGCCTCTCTGTTTTATTGTTCGTGGGACGCAGCTGCCAGGATTACAACTTCACTCTCGTCCATCACTACTCTTTCATCAGTCACTCCAAGGACCTTCTTGCAGTTTTCACCTTAAGCAAGTGCTGCAACAAAAGAAAAATGTTACAAGTAAGAAAAATTCTTGTTTTAGCTTGTTTTGAAAACTTTTCTGTTGGATAATGGAAAGGTGAAATGCAAATAAAGGCACTAAAACACTTTACACCTCTTGCCTGGAATGACTTAAATTGAGCGATGAATCTACTGTAGCATAGCTTAACTTCACCTCATATAAAGAAGAATATTAAAGAAACAAAGAGAGAACAGTTTGCTGAGCACACAGAGAGGTTGTCTGGTAACAGCTGGCTGCAGATATATTTCATAAATGATTCCATTGCCAGTTTAATGACTCATGAACTTTAATATACTTTTGGTCAATGATGAAAGTCTCAATTTATCTTCAGCTACTGATTGCATGGACTGGAAAAATAGGTGTCAGGGGTAAACATTCAAATGGACCATAACCAGTTATTACATAATGAACTACAATATTTGATTTCACAGTGTTGCATCCCTGAGCAGAGGAACTGACCAGTTTTTGGTTGTGTGCGTGAGTAATGAGAGAGACAAGAGGAACACGGTGATACAGAGTGCTTTACAGAAACATCATATATCATAACGCCCGCTTTAACAGCTAAAAAAAATATAATTAACTTTTTTTATCACCTTGATATTTCATGACTATAAGTCTAATACTGTACCATATGTATAAAAATATTGTGCATGTCTTTGTCTGTGGATGACTTTGGGCAAACAAAATAAATTGTATAGCTCCTATAACACATGTACCATTCCCTTAATTTATGTAATAATAATGCTTAATGGTAATTTCCATGCTTTACCACCTTCATCTTTGCAGGAACTTTAGGAAGCATGTGGACTATAAATAGGGGCCCCCAGTAGCTCACCTGGTAGAGCATGTGCACTATGCATCAAGGCTGAGTCCTTATCACAGTCAGCACAGGTTTGATTCCAACCCCTTTGCTGCATATCATCTCCCTGCCTTTCCTGTCTCTATCCAGCTGTCAGAATCACACATAGAGCAGAAATGCAGCAAAAAAATAAACTTTCTTTAAATAAAAACGAGACTGTAAATAGCCTTCACTGGGTGGTTGAGTTTGAGTGAGAAAGCGGTTTGAATTTTGAAAGATGTGGTCACTGAATACATTTTGTGTCAAAGCAATCTGATCAACAGTTTTGTCCACATTGACTTCTGTTGTGCTGACTGTGTGAACAGTTGTGAAAAAGTGAACTCAGTATCGTGAGATGCGGGTTACCAATTGTAAACAACAACTTTGCAGCTCTGTTAATACATCCAGGTACAGACAGGTGACAAATTAAAGGAAAAACCTGAATGAAGATGTGGAGAAACATTTTTTCCCTTAAACTGTCACCTTACAGGCCTGGTGAAACACAAGAAGGCCACTTTGCTGTACCATTTAAACTAAACTACTTACCAGCCAGGTTCCCTTCAATGGAACATACACTTTGTCACTCACACTTGTTTTGACTTGCTCTCACAGCCACGGGGTTGTGTCAGCTTTGTGTCTGTTATTGTGTCTCTGACTTGGGCCTGCTCGTGGCTGCTCCTGGCGCGCAGTTTGAACACTTGCTGTGATTGGTGGATTTGGACCAATGGGTGGCCGCAGCTCTGGTGACGTTGAGGTTCCGTAGAATAGTGCGCGAAGGTGCAGATGTTGGCGGTCTGAACACACAGAAGAAGAAGAAGCTGGCGGAGGTTTTCAAGCTGAGGCACTTCACGGTGAGAACAATGGGGTTTATGCAAATGTTTAACCAGGCTTTCAGCCCTTTCAAACAAAGTGTTGATAGAGTTGAAGGTCGATTTGGACACTTGTTTTCAGTATTATGAAGTCTGTTCAGCATCACTGAGGTCACTTGTTGTAGCTAGGTAACGGACGTTATTGTTATGGCCGTTGTTCAGTAACTGTTAAACGTTACGTGCACTAACTTTATGTCAAAATGACAAAAATATTTTAAAATTCATTTATAAACCGCATCAAAGGCATCATTTATCCCAATATCTTGCCATATAACGTTACTATATATATTATATTATTTAACTAACAGTAACTTTAGCTTAATGTTTTGTTGTGATTCTTTATTAACGTTATGTAAGTTAATCAGGAGCATGAGAAAGCACCATAGTAATTTAACGTTAGATAATTAGCTAACTAACGTTAACTAATTAACTCTAGCTCTTCATAAATTATCTTTTTTTTTTAAATTTATTTATCTATTTTCATTTTTCAAAATGACCTTGCGTTAGTATTTCAGGTCTGTGTATGTTTAATGTGGTGGTGTACAGTTTTTCTAGTGCCCAGCCCCCGCCATTTTGGTAAAAACACTCAGAAATATATGCGTGCAGACTCCAACAGTGTGCACCCAGAATCATCACATTTTACCCCGTCTGAGTTCACAGATGGGCTTCCACTGTGTGACTATCACACATTGTGGTTAGACCTGAGGCATCAGTGAGGTGTTCAACTTGTTTTGCCTGTCATGACGTGACATGTTGTGACTGGTAAAATAACAGGTTATGTAACGTTCATAACAATATAATGTGTAACTATACTGCAGCTACAACTGCTGTGTATGTCTGAGGCTGAGAAGATCAGTGATTGCATAAAAATATACATATTTAGTTGATGGATGGATAAGATTATTAATTTTTTTTTTTTCAAAGGTATGCTCGCATGCTTGATCCATGATCTATCAAAACAAGAGCTGTCACTGTTAGCTGCTGCTGAGAGGACATGCTGCCAAAGCCGCACTGCTTTCATATGTGGACAACTGACCAAAATAAAATTAAAGCTTACCCACAATTATGCATTACGTATTGCTTGCTAATAATCTATTTTTTTCAAATTTTCTTCTAGTATCAAAAAGACAACACTTTTGCAGAAATGGAAAACTGTGGAGGTAAGCAAATAGTTCTGTGGATGAGTAGTCTTTGTGTGCAATAGTACATTTAAAAAGGTTAAATTAGAAACCTTTAAGAGACCTTAAATGCTCAAACACAAATAAATGGCGGCATATAACTGCTAAACCAGGAAATACCTCTGAATACTGTATGCAAGACTGTAACATGTTTTTAACTCTATACAAGGAATTGGAGTCATTTGATGTGGTTAGTATAGCAAGTTGCAAACGTGAGCTATAATGCAGCACTCCTATAGTACTTAAAAAGCGATCTTTGTTTTGTCACATCTAGTTTTGGTTTCCTCTTCATTGCTTCATTCAAATGCTGCCACACAGCAGGATTATTTTTCTCTTCTGACCTCTCTGAAGAAGCACTGACCCCAAAAAAAGGCAGCAGGAGGCCGGCTCAACCTCTTTTTGTGTAATTATCCTCAGTCAGACAATGAATCTCAATGGAAGCATTATCTATCTAACAGTTCTGATAATCAGTTCATTGTTTTTAATTCATCAAGTAAAAATTATATTAGATTGATATTGCAATCTTGTGATCTTTACCTCTGACCTCATATCATCACCCATCTGCTATAGTTTGACCATCACATGTACCAGCCAGCAACAACAAATATCCTGTTTTACAGACATCCTAGTGAAGGAGTTGGACAAGCGTTCTTCAGGTCAAGCATTTGAGGTTATCCTGAGCCCCTCAACCCCAGATGCCAAGGCCGAATTTCCATTGTCCCCTCGGAAGAAAAAGGAAATGTCACTGGATGAGCTTCAGAGGAAACTAGAAGCTGCAGAAGAAAGACGCAAGGTATTGTCAAGAATTGCTAACAGATGTGAGCAAACTACCACTGAGAAAACCACTAGCTAAGCTGTAAAGCCTGACACATGGGTTCAGGATTCATTTACTGGAAAAAGTTCTCTTTTGTCCTTTTGCCAGAGCCAGGGGGCTGAAATGCTGAAACACTTTGCTGAGAAACGAGAGCACGAGAAGGAGGTCATCCAGAAGGCCATAGAGGAGCAATGCAACTTTAGTAAGATGACAAAAGAGAAAATCAATCAGAAGATGGAGGCCAACAAAGAGAACCGCACTGCACGCATGGCAGCTCTCAATGAGAAATTCAAGGAGAAGGTAAGCTCCTAATGGCATATCAACTTATCTTCATGTTTGATGTTGGAATAATGAAAACTACAGTGTTGTGATTCTCTGTTTCTTAAAACACTAACAGGACAAGAAGCTTGAAGAAGTGAAGAAGAACAAGGAGGCAAAGAATGAAGAGAACTGATTTATGACCTGGAATTTTTTCCCAAAGATAAGCTGTACATTTTAAACTGACACTTCCATGCTATTTTTTGTTGTGTTAGTTCTGATTATGCTGTTGAATGAAAGTTGGTTATAAAAGCGTGTGAGAGTCAGTTACTGGGTGCGGATATAGTCTGATTTTTGTTCACTTGTAGATTTCTAATTGGCAGCTGATTAAACTGTAGTTTTTGTAGTAAGAGCTATATTTTTGCATTAAGAGGCATTCTATTGTAATGAGTTGGTCTTTATACTTCATACTGTTGTAATGCATCATAAAATAGTTCCAAACTGTTGATAATGTTGTAAGTTTGAATTTACTGTGTGATATCAAGGTTCTACCATTAAAGTCGATATCCACAATTTTATCTTCTCTTTCCTGTTGTGTGTTTAACATATTTGTGCCTCATTAATATTGAAGATGAAGATATTTTATTTCTGTACCATGTGAAGAGGATGGACATAACAGTCATGTGGCATATTATAGTGTGCTTTGTAATACTTTGAAACTGCTGACCCCTAGTGGCAGTTAGATCACCATAATGATATTGTAATTATTAAAAGTTACAGTGACTCCCAAGGCCCAAGATAAATCTCAGGGGTCACCAGATTAAAGAGAAGAGAAAATTGATAATTAATTACTTTTATTTTAAGTTTTTCTGTTTTGTGGAATACTGACTTTTACCTCGTCAGGCCGTTAAAAATCCTTCCTATAAATCCTATAAACATTTGAGAAGGAAAAAAATCCCATTGAACCCATGTCCACAGTGAAGCCATCTGTGATAGGGGTGTCACAGATAAGGGCTTCATTTTTAGGGGTCACAGACCAATGGTTTAGGTTTAGATCCAAATCACTAATTTTACACAAACTTCTTGCAGTTATTGAGTTCATTATTTGGGTTAATTGTACAGTTTTTCATCCAATATGAAACGTCCATAAAATATGTATGGTCTCTACTTGTACAGTTATGACTACACTCTACACAGAAACACTAATAAAGTGTATTTTCTATTATATGGATAATAAAATGTTTCCATTATAAAAATTCACAAAACGAGTATCCTGAATATGTCAAATGGCAACAGAGGTTTTTGCTGAGACTATTGTTAGATGAAAGGTGCTGCCTGACTCCATTCCTGTTGTCATGTTTGGTACAGACGGTTGAGCTAAATCAGATCACGAGCCTCAAAAGGCTGGGAACCACTGCCATTATGTAATAATAATGAATACATTCTTGATGGCTCTTTCCTCAGTGTGTATCCATCACTCCATGGTTTATATCTGCTTATTTCCATTTGGCAGTTTCAGACTGACCTGACCAGCATGTGTTCGGACTATAGAGACACAAATATGCTTCTGACTACAAGAAAGTGTTAGTGGACAAAGCAGTGATCTCATCATGCATAAGCAGCTGAACGGGCCCAGTACTGACTGTTACAAGTTGTCAGACTAATGACATTGTCACATATTATTGTAGTGAGCACAGGAGTCTGAAATGTCCAGAAAACCTGTTTTTTCTTTGGGTGTTTATAAGAGATGACTTTTTTGCAAATATTGTGGGTATACATTGTAAAACCAAAAAGACTCAACTACAAGTAAAAGTTCTGCATTCAAAACCTTACTCAGCAGCTACATTTATTAAAGTATCAAACTGTGCAGCAAATATTGAATTTTGTATTATCTGTATATAGCTGACAGACGCAGCTATATACAGATACTTTACCAAAATTCAGCATTCATTTCTACAATAAAGTGCAGTGATGGTTCAAGCGTCTCAGACAAAACTGGAACTTCAGCAGACTGAAAACTCTCGCTGGTGGGAAAAAGACCTCTCTGCCTTTAGCGACAGCACCTACAGCTCCATCAGATTCAACCACTAAGATTTTTAGCTGCTGCTCAAACAGATTCACCCTCCAAGCCGTTTACCTAAGTAAAGGACCTGCACTTACTGCTCCAACCACTCATGTCCACACAGCCTCCAGCAGTCCTCAACCCGCCTGCTTCAACAGTCCTTACTGACCCAGGACACCGGTGTCAGTACAACGCATTCAGGAGCGTCTCTCCCTCCTAGAAGTGGAGATAATAAATTTAAAGAGAACAAACTGTTGGAGTCTGACACAATTCAACAGCTGAAAAATTAAATGAAAATGTTTAAAGAAGAAACCACAACTGCTGCTGGACTGTTGAGAGAAAATATGAATGAGCTACACAAAACAAAGAAACTCTCAGACATGAAACTACGTCAGATGAGAAAAGAGATGGAGCAAAGTGACAGTTCTTGTCGATCTGGAGGAGAAGTTGCTTAGGATGGAAGCAACAGAGCAAAACCCTCAAACCCAGTGGCTGTGGCTCAGACTTGGCATATTATAGTGTACTTTGTAATACTTTGAAACTGCCGACCCCTAGTGGCAGTTAGATCACCTTAATGATATTGTAATTATTAAAAGTTACAGTGACTCGCAAGGCCCAAGATAAATCTCAGGGGTCACCAGATTAAAGAGAAGAGAAAATTGATAATTAGAGATTGTGGCTCAGACAGCACACAGGGAGTTTCCTAGAGCTAACATCACCATCTCCACACGTTCCCTGGGACCTGGTCCAAAATATAAACAGGGTCATCATCTCAGAATGTGCAGCTCTAAACAGGGTCAACATCGAACCCCACTCTGACATATGAGCTTCCTATAAGACCACATCCGACTAGACCAGGAGAACAGCGGCCGACAGAGAGCCTATGGTGCTCTTGTAACACTTTATATACTTAACTAGTGCATGACCGATTTCTGTAGCTCCCCACTAACAAACGATCTGGTCACTGACTTTTTGTGATTAGTTCACGCTTAGATAATCAGTTAAGGATGTTTAATTCAGAGTTACTTTATACAATTTAATTGATTTGATTAATTCATGTATTAAACCGTCTTCAGTCTAGTCTAGCAGTACTTAAGTATGTGATTTGTAACCCTCATAAAGAATTTTAATTACTTATTGGGCCTCACGAATCCTCCTCAGCTCCAGTCCATGACAGGGGTTAGGCCTCGGCTCTTCTCAGGCAGAGCTCATGTAAAGTACCAATCACAGCATTGTTAACTGACATTGGGAAATGGTATACTGAAAACATTTAGAAGTTTAACTACCTGCAACAGTTTAAAATTTAGAGTTGTTTGCCATTTCAGCGCTCTATAAATACAATGTCTTATTATTATCATCGTCATCACGTGTGGAGTTCAAACATCAGTTGGACATCACTGCCCCCAAGTGACTGACGTGAGTGTTAGTAAAAAAACATTTTTGGAAAAAAAAAAGCCTAAATAAAGATGTGGGCTACAATACAACGCTGCACCATCACTGTCTGATTATTAGAATATGGTGCTGTTTAAATAATGTATATTTAAAATGTTTAGAATCACTAAATTCAATTAATTTTTTTGACATCACGATGCAATAAAGATTATATTGTGGCGGTATTTAACCAATTTGAGAAATTGCAATCTGAAACATTGGCTTGTGCTTCACTGTGGAATCTGCAGTGCAAAGGCAACTGCAGTGATAAAAGTCTTTTCTATTGGTTTTACAGCAGTTAGCAGTTGCATTGAAAATTACTAAGTACCACATACCCCCTTTTGACAAATAATGTTGTCTGTCCAGGTTCCATGTTAGACATTTAGCAGCGGCTTAGAGCAGTTCCACCTTTCTGGTGTTCAAGACCCACAGACTGACACTGCAGGCAATGGACGGTTATTTGGTAAGATTTGGATTTAGTTAATCCATAACCGTCTGTACTGTAGATTGGCAGATTAACAGTGTAGAGTGTGGAACCTATGGATAGAATAGTACTTAATCTTTCTCATCATTGGGCCATCTTTTAATCAATGAAATAGTTAAATTAAAACATTGCCCAATTTTCTGGGGGACCCCCTGTAACCCCTTCAATGACCCCTTGGGTCCCAAACCCACATTGAGGACCACTGGCTCACAGTGTGAGCAGACTTAACTGTACAACATATCACTAAAAACAGTACTGTCTACAACTACTTCAAACCAGTTTGATACTACCCAACATAGCAGCATGCTTTTAACATTAGTCAAAACTACAGAAACAGAATAATCTGCACAGCTCTATTAAAATGCTGTTCTAACAGTTATTAAGTTTAAGTGTATAAAGAATAAATCGTGCAGTCAATGAACAAACTTTATTTTTAACATTCAAGGCAGAGATTGGTACAAGAAAATGTGTGCCTGTTTAATACTCCTCTCCTTCATCCTCCTCACCCCCGTCTCCCACACTTTCAGCTCCCACCTCCTCATAGTCCTTCTCCAGAGCTGCCATATCTTCTCTGGCCTCAGAAAACTCTCCCTCCTCCATACCCTCACCCACATACCAGTGAACAAAGGCACGCTTAGCGTACATCAGATCAAACTTGTGGTCAAGCCGAGCCCAGGCCTCTGCAACAGCAGTGGTGTTGCTCAGCATGCACACAGCCCTCTGGACCTTGGCCAGGTCTCCACCCGGAACCACAGTGGGCGGCTGGTAGTTGATGCCAACCTTGAAACCAGTGGGGCACCAGTCCACAAACTGGATAGTGCGCTTGGTCTTGATGGTGGCAATGGCAGCATTCACATCTTTGGGCACCACATCACCACGATACAAAAGACAGCAAGCCATGTACTTGCCATGGCGAGGGTCACATTTCACCAACTGATTGGCTGGCTCGAAGCAGGCGTTTGTGATTTCGGATACCGTTAATTGCTCATGGTAAGCCTTCTCAGCTGAGATGACAGGGGCATAAGTTGCCAGAGGGAAATGGATACGGGGATAAGGCACCAAGTTAGTCTGGAACTCTGTCAGATCAACATTGAGGGCACCATCGAAACGAAGGGAAGCAGTGATGGAGGACACAATCTGACTGATCAACCTGTTCAGGTTGGTGTAAGAAGGACGCTCGATATCCAGGTTTCTGCGGCAGATATCATAGCTGGCCTCATTATCCACCATGAAGGCACAGTCAGAGTGCTCCAGGGTGGTGTGGGTGGTCAGGATGGAGTTGTAGGGCTCCACCACAGCTGTGGACACCTGAGGAGCTGGGTAAACTGCGAACTCCAGCTTGGACTTCTTGCCGTAGTCGACCGACAGACGCTCCATTAGCAAGGAGGTGAAACCAGAGCCGGTGCCACCTCCGAAGCTGTGGAAAACCAGGAAGCCCTGAAGGCCAGTGCACTGGTCAGCCTGCGGATGAAGGGAGAGACAATAATCACATATGAGATACAACAATGTCATTTAATTCAATATTCTAGTGCAAATATAAATCTAACTTCTGCTCTGAATTGACCCACCAGTTTACGGATCCTGTCCAGCACCAGGTCGAT